GGAATTGGAATACATGGTGAACAGTCTCCCGCTTCCTTCCGTCTGGCCGGAGGAACCTGACTGTCAGCTTGCCCTACCGCTTTTCCTCTCAGAATCTAAGTTTTTCTCTTTCTCGATCGTTCTGAAGTCGTTCGAATGGATATTCCCCGTATTGTGGTGATTAAACATCCGCATTCCCTTGTACTCGTGATAGATGCACAAGATTGGTAACGAGGAGGGATAGCGGGAAGCGCAGTCACCCATCGTGCAGTGCGTCGGAATTCATGGAAATGGTGGTGTATGAACTGCACACTGTGGAATATACATTACAGGGAGCGGAGAGCCCATCCACAGACATGACAGCCGTGTCTACGAGGAGGACACCGTTTTTTTCCCCTTTTTTTTTTTCTCACTGGCCAGTGTCACGTCTACGAGGAAGACAGTTCGGGTGCACTGGCCGCCAGCTGCATGGGTAGAATGGGGAGGCTGCACAGCCATCTGATGGACTTGGAGGCTGGAGAGAAGAACAGGCGGGCAGCACAGGGGAGGTGTTGGTTGTCGGCAGCATGCTGCAGCCCGCAGGGATGGATCTGGCCCGTGCACATCAGAGATGAATGGGGGTGGTATGTGCCTGGGATGTTTGTAAGGAGTTACGGGTTGCATGGCGAGAAGGGGATTCACTCCCACGATAGGATGTGTTTGATGAATTTTATTTTTTTATTCTTTATTTTTTCTCGCCGTTTACTTGACAAGTAACAGAGAGCTCATCGTGTGGGGTCTGGGGGATCGCCGTACCACATCATGACTACATAAGTGATATGTGTCATGTACATGAATCTACTAGCGGTGTGAGCTGTCACAGCACCTTCCCTCGAGCACAACCGCGCACTTGCACTGGGCGACTGGCAGGCAGCAGGCAGCTATGGCCGACACTGTGCGCTGGGCACTGTAACGCCGTCACTCCAAGCTCGATGAAACGCTTTAACATCCAGGGAAAGAAAAAGGAAGTGGGAGAAAAAAACAAACAAATGAAAATACCAGAGTACTCGCATGCCCATGAAGGTACATGAGGCCAATGGGGTTCACCCCGATAAAACAGGGGCTCACCCCGATACCAGGGAGAGCTCAGACCACCGGCAGCTCGTACCTCAGCCTCACGCAGTGGGGGATCATACCACTCACCACCCCCACCTCCAGTACGGACGCATAGTATGCACATCTGTTCTAATCCGGTTTTCTCACCAGGATTGAACTAAGAGCAGATTCCTAGTATTTTCCTACGCTGCCCCACATCCGTTCGAGAATGGTCGGCAGACCTCCAGTCGCCATCACGATTCAAATCCTGCTACCAGGAAGATCTCGCCAGACAGCCTAACAGTCATTTATCAGGACTGATTTACGCTGCATCGCTGCTCCAGGAGGACGAACCGCCACCTCCGGGCACAGAACCTCCTTCCCTAGGCACGGAATCCCCACCTGTAAGCAGAATGTTGCTGGGTTGCCGTTCACTGTCCGAAACACCAGCAGACAACCGGCAGCAAGTAGGGAGGGCTAGAAGCACGGAGGAGGCAGGGCCGTCGTCAGCTCTCGTTCCATTTCGGAGGAGCTCTAGAGGACAGTCACCTCTGAAAGTCCCAAGATTAGTCAGGGACGGTGCATCTAATGGCCAGATCACTCCGGCGGCCGACCAGGCTCAGGGCAACAGCCCTATGCAGGAAGGATCCAGGGTTTCTATTGCCAGTGCCGCCGGCTCTTCAGCGTCGGTCCACGCAGGCGACAGACAAGCCTTCCCTCGACCGGGCTCCAAAATCTCATGCAATTGTCGTATGGTTACAACTGCACGAGGACAGACAGCCAACCTGGAAAAGTGGCTAATGTCATTCATCTGCACATTGCAAGCGGAGCCATACATGTGATTGCCTGGCAGCCAGAAGATGGGAAGGTAAGCTTCCCAGCACAGCCTGTAGAAGAGCCGATCACCCCGCATGTTATACTTCCTGCTGCCAGGATTTTTTATTTATTTATTTATTTATTTATTTTTTATTTTAACATAAAAGTTGATAAAACAGGTCCTTATGGCCCTGGCTGCATTTCCATTCTGGGGAGCGTCAGTCGGGTTCCTTTTCCACCCGCAAGTCAGATTACAACACACTCACACTTCCTTCCGTCTGGCCGAAGGAACCCTGACCAGCATTGATTACTCCAGCGTCGTGGAGGATTGACTGTCAGCTTGCCTTACGTCTACCTTTCCTCTCAGGTCCACTGCATGAACCTGCTAGATAAATCATAAAGAGCAGTAAATGTAAAAGAAGCTACATAAGGTACAAATTTTGGAATTCCCCCTTCCAGATTATGTGGCCTGTGATGACTCTTGTGCATCTGCTGGCTGGGATCTCTGCCCTCTTGAGTTGTGGCGGTCTTTCCACCGTATGTGAAAGTCATTTATCTCTGCTACTTTGCCCCCTGCGAGCCACACCTTGGTAAATTTAGCCTTAATTCTCTTCTGTTGCTCTTCGTCATCTGGCATGGAGTGTATGCCACTTGCAAAGAATCTCCGTCAACGGTTCTGCAGCACCTTTCCTTCCAGATGGACCACAGTGTTACCTTTCTGATCATACCGAACCACTTCTTCTCTGTCTTGTGAGGATGTTAGTCCATAGAAGGAGTTGGATGGGGTGTTCAGGGAGGGGAGTCGAGAAGAGGGAATCCCAGAGGTCCGAAGCTCTAGCCCAGTATTCCGTCGCCTCTCTACAACGTATTAGGCAATGTAGCATATCTTCTGGTTCATTTTCCGAACATACCACGCATAAATCTGAGCTGTGTACCGGTTCGAATTCCAAGTCTTGAATCACCATATCCATTCTGAAGATTTTTTTGGCCCATGTCCCCAGAACTCTTACTTTCCTGAGAATAAACAAATCGAAGACTGTTCTTTCCATGTCAGTGTTCAGCATGGGCGAAGGGCCGTGAAGTGATGAAGTGATTGGGAAGGAGGTAAAGACAGCCAAGGTATCTGATCCCTGCGGTTCGTAAGAAAATTGGTAGGCTCTTGAGGGGGAAAATTCCTGTACCTTGACTCCCCATTCCCCAGTTTTCCAAGTCCACCCTTCACTCAGCAGCTCCTTCCAGCCTTCTGGAATGCATGTGATGATAGTTTGCAGATTCTCCTCCTGCCGATGACATCCTTTAAGGCAGGTGGTAAGTTCCTGATTGGTCAGCCAATCTTTTTTTTTCTTCATCCCATATATGACTCACTTTCCAGATTCCATGTTTTATCCATGACAGCCATCGCGTACCCCTTGGTTTGAGGGAGAGCGAGTAGTCGCTTTCCTCTCTCCCCCAAGGGTTGTCGATTGGCTCAGTACCTCCTCTTTCGACTTGGGTTTACCTACCTTCTTCGGCATAATTTCCCACCATATCTGAAGCAAGGCTGTCCAATAGGGTGTGGGAGGCCTGGCTTGATTTGGACGAGCTCCTCTTCTTTGATTTCTATGGCCTGTCTTTGGGTTCCATTCCTTTTTCGTTACCCAAAATAAACTAGACATGTTTGCTGGTGTTGCTGTTGGGACCAAACCCCTTATACTATCCAGGGCCAGTTTGTTCCATGCAGATTCAAGTTTGGTCAGTAGTTTGACAATCCAATTGACTCGTAAGGCTTTTGTTTCTTGTTTAGAGTCTATGGGCCTCGTTAGACCCTCCTTGGAAAATCCTCAGGAATTAGGATGAAGTCCTTGGAAAATTTTCCGGTTTTCGGCGTCGTGGTTACACCGCGTCCTAATTCAGTGGGTCCCAAGGAAAACCCTTGGAGGTCTCCAGCGGCCAATTTCATACAAATACACACGGCCGCGGGGGTGGATGTCCGTCATCGTGCTGGGATGTCCGTGCGTCCTCGTGCTGGGATGTCCGTGCGTCCTCGGGCGTGGTCCACTGGCAGCTGCGGGGAGGCCTACCGGGCTGAGGAAAAAAAAGGGCGCCAACATCCCCGTTCCAATTTCAAATTTCGAACCCTCTGTTGTGACACATCAGTGCGTGAGGCGTCTTGGTGGCTGGACTGGAGACTAGGGCGAAACGTGTGTGCGGAGGAGTGATGGCGGCCATAGCTTAAAAGGATGGAATTGGAACGTTGGGCGACGTAGCATGTAATGCCTAACGGTTCTCTACTGCGATGTCGCCTTCATGTTTCGCATGCTCTTCGGGCCGTCACAACTTAGCGTGAACGTAACGCTTCCGTGAAACGTGGAGAGTGCAAGCGCGGTCCCCATCGACGTGCAAAAGGTGCAGCGAGGGCACCGGCGGGCGAACGAGTGGTGGGTGCTTGCACATTACAAATCCTGACGATGGAACGAGAGCTCCCGGGTGGTGCGAAGGCATTAACGACATTGGAGAGAAGCAAGGTGGTCGCAGTTGTGTCAATCGTCGCCATGCGTTATCGCATTGAGAGAACGATAACTCGCCTGAGGATGAGATTATTCGTTCGATGCAACAGGTGATGGATGCACCCGATTGTGTGTCGTTATCGGAATCCATAGTGCAATTCTGTTGCGCCATGGCATCGGGTGTGATCCCATGGGCGACGCCGAGATGGTGGATAAGGAGAAGGACGGGAGGGACATGGGAGGATCTCCGACAGGTTGACGATGCGGCGGCGGGCTACTACAAGGAGAAGCTGTGGAGTGGAGTAGTCAATGGCGCGCGTCGGCTGTCTGCTGGAGGTTTCCCGCCTGTCCATCGTCGTCTTCCTCACCGTTCGTCGTTTTTGTCTGCTGCCAGGACCTTGCACAACGACGCACACGTGGAACAACACGACAAGGAGCAGGAGGAGAGTGGCCAGCAGCAGGAGGAGGAACCGTCGGAGGACGTTTGCCATGAATGGCAACTTGCGAGGCGTGTACCAAAACAAAGCTTGCATCAATGCACCTGACAATAGCCGACAAAATGCGCTAGGCAGATGCCTACAATCGACCGACAGCGCTTCAACATCGCTTGTAGAAAAATAAAAAAATTCGACCGTTGGACACCACGGTCGGCGACGCGTGCATGGAAAACCCTGCTTCGTGAAGCGCCTTGCAGCTGAAGAACCACCCCCACACATTTTCACGCCAACGGTAACGCTGGAAGGCCGTTGGGGGCCCGTCAGGTACTGGAGGCCGGCGATGTCCGCCCAATGGACCACGAACGACCTGTGCACCAACATCGACTCCAAATTTTCCTGTCGGCGCTCGTTCCAGAACATTCCGTCAATCGCGGCTCCTTGAACCCAAGGGACCTCACGAGGACCCCTTGAATCCAAGGGCATTTTGGCTGGGGATTCTGAGGAATCCAAGGAAATCTCTCAGGAGCGTTTTCACATTCATTCAAGGAATTTGGTGAGTTAGGACGCGGTGTAACGATGCAGATTTCCTAAAAATCGAATTTCCAAGGAGGGTCTAACGAGGCCCTATAATACCCAGGCCCCCTCTGTCTGGTTGCCTTGTGATATAATGCCATGCTATCTTTGGTATACAGTTCTCTTTGTTGGGTTCCCTAACCATAGGTACACTCTTGCTTTGCGGTTGAGGTCTTTAATTGATTGGTCTGGAATTGTCCAGATTGAAGCTATATACCACATCATAGAGAAGATGGATGTGTTAATGGCTAATGCGCGACCCAACAAGGATGTAAGTGTGCTTCCCCACTTGTCCAACTTGCTTATTTCTTTGGAGAGGGCCATTTGAGGGGCAAAGCCTTCTTTAGTCATCAGAATACCCAGGTATCGCGTGGGAGTGTCCGGTGTTTCCCAAGTCATGGCTGCCCCCGAACCCTAGGGCTGGGGGATCGCATCCTCGGCTAGCCACCACCCAATTGTTTTTCCCCAGTTGATTTTCATTTCGGATGTGAACGCTTCCATGGCTCTTACTAGCGCAGCGAAAGATGAGTTTGAGGCTCGAATGAGGACAATGAGATCGTTTGCAAACATTATTACAGTAGGAAATCAAGTGGTGAGTTGATCCTACATTCACTTTTGGTAGCCTGTGTATGGAGGGGTCTTTGCGTAAGAATCATGCTATTGCCTCCATCACAAACAGGAAAATTGGGGGTGCTAGCGGGTCCCCCTGGCGGACCGAACGTGAGATTGGGTAGCAATCTGACAACAGGCCGTTGACTTGGACACAACCTACGGCGTCGTTGTATAGAATACGTACCCATTTCCTGAAGTTCGGCCCTACTCCCATCTTTTCCATGCTCGCATTGAGGAAGGCCTAATTGACCTGGTCGTATCTCGAAATTGAAGAAAAGTATTGTTGTATTAATCCTCTTTTCCCTGACTTCATTGGTCGCCTCATTGAGAGTAAGTACGTTGTCTAATATGTACCTTCCGGGGATGAAGCCAGTTTGGTCTATGTGAAAACATTTGTCTGTCAGATCCAAGATCCTGAAGGCCAGGGCTTTAAGCAGGATTTTATATGGGAGCGTTAGTAGCGATATAGGTCTGTAGTTTCTTATGTCTTGTTTGTCCCCTTTTTTATACAGCAAGGTAACCACTCTACTACTCAACAAATTCCCTAACCCCCTCTTTTGCCAACTATCATTGTAGAAGTTCAGCAAATCCTCCCCTAGAAACAGCCAAAACTTTTCCCATAATTATTTCGTCAGTCCGTCGATTCCAGGTGACTTGTTGTTATTCATACTCTGTACTGCAAATTGCAGTTCTTCTCTTGCTTTTTGGAAAATGTCTGTATATAGCATAGAGGAGGGATTGTCAATTAGACTTATCTATGCGATCTTGAGGGTTGTCTCCAGAGCTTGTTTCCTCTGCTTTCTGTCATTCGCCAATTTCCTTGATATTTTAACAACCGTTGTGATAATGTAGAGTAACTTTCTTGAAGCCATTCCCATCTATCCTGGATGGGTAGGTAACTGCCCCTCATATTCTGCTAGCATTCCCTAACTCCCTCCTGGGAGGAATGGCTCAATAGGAGGAGTTGTTCAGTTTGTGAAAGCTAGAACCCTTTTTAACATATTGATCAAAACCAATAACGAGTTCAATGGGTTTATGGTCCAGACCCGGGTACGGTTGTAGGGCAAGAATCTCTGCACTTTTGGCTGTTCCCATTAGCATCTCTGAGCGAAGGAAGTAGTCGATGAAGGAGAAAGTGGTGTGTTTGCACGATTCTTTTTGACCAGCGTGAAGGTTTTTGCCCCTGGATGCAGAGTACGGTATGGTTCAACCAAATTGTGATCCAACATCAGCTTTTGGATTGGCACTGCCTCCTGCGTGGGCTGACTAGCCGATGATCTAGAAATACGATCGGCGGAGGGATCCAAAGTCGCCAGAATGCATGTCGATAAGGGAGTGATCAAATGTCCAATGCTTGTTATGAATGTTGTTCTGTCTGAGGAACTGTTTGGTGCATATACATTGATTACTCTGAATTCTTCCTCCCATTTTAGATCCATAAGGCACCATCTACCCTCTACTGTGTCAGCCTCCATGCCCATTACTGAACTTGTCGTGTAGAGACAAGATGATTTTGGTATGAGGATGGCTATCCCTTTTCTGCTTGATTCATTATTTGCTGACCATGTTTCGTCTTTGACTCCTCCTAGCTTCTTTGTGAATACTTTTCGAATTTTGTTGTGTTTGGTTGAGACGGTGAGGTGGGTTTCTTGTAACAGGATTATATCTGCTGGTTTGTTTGTGTACACCATCAGTCCCTTGACTATGTCATTCAATTTTTCTTCTTTTTCCACTATGTTACCCAGTCCGTTGACATTCCAACTTCTGATGATTATTCCTTGTGTCTTCCAGTTCACCTGGTCCTCCTTTGCATTCGCCTTCTTTGTAATGAGTTCCATCATTGCAGCGATAAGATGTTGGTATGCCCGGAGTTAATTCCATCTCCATTATCTATAGGACCAGCACGAAATAGCCCACCTTTAGCAGGATTATTGCCAATATAATCATAAACGGCCAGTTTTTTTGGTATTCGCGACCAAGCTTAGTTCACGTCTAATCAAGATATTGATTTTTTTTTTTAAACTTGGTGGTGGTCGACCTAAGGGGGGGGCTGGTCGCTTGCGTCCATTGCTGTCGTGGTCACATCCGGTGGAACCTTGTGTGCCTTAGTAATCTGGTCATCTGTCTTGTATTCACCTATACTTTCGTTGCCTCCCTATTTTGGGGACAGGGCCGGCTTGGATCCAGCTTCGTCCTCCTGCCACTTCTCCATCTCGTCTTTGGAGCCTGCCTAGATCCATGGCAAAAGCCCTCGATTCCAGGTCGCTATCCCCTGTTAGGATGTCCGCACTCAAGAGTTGTGACACCAAGTCCGAGTAATCTGGTCATCTGTCTTGTATTCACCTATACTTTCGCTGCCTCCCTATTTCGGGGACAGGGCCGGCTTGGATCCAGCTTCTTCCTCCGGCCACTCCTCCATCTCGTCTTTGGAGCCTGCCCAGATCCATGGAAAAAGCCCTCAATTCCAGGTCGCTATCACCTGTTAGGATGTCCGCACTCAAGAGTTGTGACACCAAGTCCGCCAACATTTCCGCTGGAATGCGGGGAATCGTTGTCACTGTCCTCCATGGTCTCCACATCATCCCGCTCTTCAGTTTCGTTCTTTCTGGGAGTTTGGCGATCAGAGGAGTAAAGGTGCAAGGGGTGTGCCTCTCCAGTTCCATTTGATGTTCCCTTTGTTCCCCTTGGGCAGCTTGGGATGAGCTGGCCACTGGATAGCCGTAGGGGTCAGCTATCTCATATAACCCCCCAGTGGGAAATCCTCTGTTACTTTTTCCCGAAGGATGATGGCTACGTTATGTCCTTCGTCAATCCTTGGGATTGTGAAGGACATGTCTATGGTGTCCTGCCATTCCCCCTCCTTCTCGATGTACCTGGCTGCTATCAACGGGCGAGTACCCATCAAAGTCAGTCTAGCTGATTTGGATGAAGCCACCACATGCGGTGCCTTGCCCTCAACGATGTGCTGAATGGAAGTAAACTTTGGTGTGTACTGAGCATTCATCTTTTTCAACTTTTCTGTCTGGGCCACGACTATAGCCACTTCTTTTTCCAATATTGATCTTGCTGATTCCTCTTCTGCTTCTTCGGTGTTTTGCATTTCTTTGGACGAAGTTTTTGGAACGAGTTGTTGGTATTGAGAACTGTCTTGTCTTTGTTTCTCAATCCCTATTCTCTTGCTCTCTTCTTTTCTGCGTGCCTGAATGCAGTGTACTCAGAAAATTCCTTCGCCTTGTCCTTCCTTAGCTTCTCATACTGATTGTCCGATTCTCGAAGCCCACAATTGACCCACTTTTCCCATTTTTCTGAGATCTTTCGATGTGTCTCAGACATGCTGCTCTGATGTCAAAAGTATGTTCTCTCTCTTTTTTGACCTTTTCTATGTATTCCTTTAGCCATTGGAGGGATGGTTAGGAGTCTGATCCACTGTCCATGGCTGTCTCTCTGGTCTCTTCTCTGTCATTGCTAGCTTTGCTTCCTTTGCTGTCATATTCGGCACTGGCGGAATCGGAATCAGTGTCGCTCTTCTGACCTTTTGTCGGTGGTTGTTTCCTTGTCTGATTCCATCTCTTTCCTTCTCTTGAGACCCACCTCCACCTTCTAGCATTCTTTTGTTCTTCCCTTGTGGTTTGGGGGAGTTCTGGAGAGCCTGTTGTTCCATGTGACTTAGCGTCTCTTGCATGATTACTGATTCTTTGCGGTACTCCAGTTCTGCCTGTTCTCAGAGTGAGTCCAGGTCCCATAACAGGTCCTCCCTTGCTTTCTCCTCTCTGACCACTCGAGAGTTGATCAGCAGGTTGGTGTTAATCTTTGTAGGATTTCCCGTTATTTTGCTTGTTGCCTTCTTCTACCATTTGCTATCTGCAAGGGGGGAAATGTTGGGCTTTTTGGTTGTAGGTTCCACATCCGCATAATGC